AGGTGGGAGGAGGGAGCGGCCCCGCCCAGTGCTGCCGCTGCCTGAGAGGCGTTTTCGCGGGAACTTGATGCTCCCTATTACAAAGCCCTCTTGCCTTTATCCATAAATCATGCCCGAGTCACATTCCACCCGTGTCTTCCGGAGCTGCTGTGGGTGCCAGGAACAGCACAGGGGTTCCTGAGCCTCCCGCCTGTGCTCACGCCCTGCCTCTGCTCAGACTTGCCTGCCTTCCCTACTCCACTGTTGGCTTCCTCTTCCATGCTATGAGCCAGTGCCGCTGCATCCAGGAAGTAGTCCATGGTTGCTCCTGTCAGCCCCTCCTCCCTCTCTGCCCCCAGCCCCTAGGCTGCACCTCTTCTCCACTCTTTGCCCTTCAGTAAATGGGTTGTTCCTCCAGCTCCGTCTGTAGGCTGAGAGTCCCTTAAATAAAGGGGTCAGTCCCTGGACAAGCATGAGTCTGCCACCTGGTCCCACACGCCTGACTCTGTGACCTTGGGCAGATCCTTCCATTCGGAGCATCCCTTTTTCTCGCTGGCTGGGTCCACGTGTGGATTGAAGAGCATCAGTGAGTGTATCTGGCACCAAGCTGGGCAGCAGTGCCTTCTGGCCTTCTGTGCCCTTCTCATGGCTACATCAGGAACCTTCCGCGTTCCTGAGACTTCCGTCCAGCAGAGGGGGCCATTCCGCCTCTGCTTGCACACCCCTGGTGACGAGGAGCTCCACCTCATGAGCAGACTGGACCATCCTGAGGTTCGTACCTCTCCTTTCTGGTCCTGGATCTGAGGACTTGCTGCTGTGCCAGAACTTGAGGCTTGGGCGACCTTTGGGAATGCTTGGCCCATAGAGAAGGTAGGGCTGGAGGTGGAGCCTCCAAGTCCTCCAAGAAAACAGACCAACTCCAGGCTCTGTGGAGCAGCTGAGAGGCTCGTCAGTGGAGCCCACATAGCAAAGCATCCCAGGCTTGCCAGGGGAGACCTGTGCCTACTTGCTGCATCGGAGGTGCAAGGCAGCCAGGCATGTGCAACTCCAAACCAGCTGCTGTCCAGGTTGTGAGCAGGACAGGTGGGCAGCTGCCGCCTGGGGTCAGCTTGCGGGCTGGGCAGGTGGGCAGCTGCCGCCTGGGGTCAGCTTGCGGGCTGGGCAGGTGGGCAGCTGCTGCCTGGGGTCAGCTTGCGGGCTGGGCAGGTGGGCAGCTGCTACCTGGTACTAAGCTCTGGCTGAAGGCTGGGCCTTGCAGAAGTGGGGCTGGTGTGGCCTTTGCTGTTGTCTCGAGCCCAGGGTGGCACAGAGCCGGAGGGTGTGAAAGGCTCGCTGGGAAGAGGCAGGCAGCTGCACCCTGGGTGGGTAGCCCCTGGGGTCCCCAGAGCTCCTCAGCAGGATTGATGCCCCCGTCTCACCTCCTCACCCCTACCTGGGCTTCCTGGGTCACTTCCTATATAACCCCCTTGCAGATCCTCGTCTCTGGGTCTGCTTGCTTCGAGGCACCCCCACTAAGACACAAGGTCAGGCGGGGGGGCTTACATGGGGGCCTAGTGTCGAACGCTGTTGAAGTCGGCTCCAGAACGCTCACCTCGGCCACCTGACCATGTCCTCCTTGCGTGTCCCTGCCCCGGGGGGTGGGGTGGGGCGTCATGTTCCTAGAGTGAGGGTGATGGGGCGGGACAGGTTTGAGAGCCAGAGAGGCCACCTGAGAGCAGACTCCTTTGGGAAACTGGGCCTGCGCCCCCTGCCGGGTGAGTTCACACCAGTTCTCCAGGAGTTGGCCCGGGCCACTCCACACGAGTGCTGAGCTGGGTTGGGGGACTGCGGGTGCGATCGGACGTGCCTCCTGGCCCCCATTCTTACAGCTGTTCAGACCCACTGGGAAGTGGGAAGCTGGACACGGCCACAGCTGCAGGGGAGGCTGCGGGCAGCATGGGCCCGCCCAGGGGAAGTGGCAGGGCAGCAGGAGGGCTTGGCCAGGCCTGGCGGCTTCCAGGCAGTCAGGGTCGCCTAATGGTGAGTGTGGGGCCCAGCGCAGGGTTCCCTGGGTGGAGCCGGGAACGGCGGGGGTGGGGAGCTTGGCAGACCCTTTGGGCCCTGATCCTGCGCCCCTGGGCTGCATAGGCGCCTCCACACTTGCTCCAGAACAAAAGATCTGTGAGGGGGGTGGCCAGGGAGAGCCCCCATAAAGGAATAGTGTTAGACAGCTATACACGCGGCCAGAAGCGCTGTCCTGAGGAGCCCATGGGAGCTGTGTCGTGAACCCCCCAGGATAGGTCCCAGGGGTCTGGGAGGGGCCCAGGTCCCTTCTGTGGTCACCTCCCTCATTTGCCCGATGAGCAGCCGAGCTGGGAAGCTCTGCTTGCCTCCCTCGTGACTTTTTCTCATTACGGTAAACCCTGGGATTAATTTAATTACACGCCTGTCTCCTGGAGGCTGGGGCTCAGAGGTGCCCCATGGGATCACGGGCTTGCCTGAGGCTGCTGGGAAAAGCAGCTGCCAGGGAGCCAGGCCTTTCTGGGGTCTCCTTCCCTCCAGCCTCCACCCCGGAGATGCCCTCTCGCTCTCCTTCTTCCCCTGCAGGGTACAGCCTCCCTGGCTCCTGGCCGTGTGGAGAGCCTGGCTCGGGCGGCAGGTGTGGGCACAGGTCAGGCAGGGAGGGCGAGGGGCTTACTGGGACTTCAGGCAGCCTTGAAGCCAGGTCAGCTCTGCAGGAGCCGCCAGCACGGGCTCCGCCTGGGAGCGGGAAAGGCCTCTAGATCTGGGAGGAGGGCTGCGAGCAGAGATGCTGACGAGACACCTGCCCGTCTTGGGCCCCAGCCACCTCCTGTTCTCCCTCTGATTTAAAACTGCAGTGATGCTAGTGGGTGGCTCTGTGATGTGATCGTGCAATAATCTGTCACTTTTTTGTAAAAGGAGAATCTCTTCCTACTCTCAAAGTAGATTATTTGAAAACTAACCAAAGCCCATTTGAGAAAGTAGTCCCTCCTCCGAGCAATCCCACAGTCAATATTTTATGTTCTTCCTCCCTGAATGCGTTGGAAAGCATGGCTTTTTCCAAACACAGCAGTAATTATACGCATATAATTTTGTATCCAGGTCTTTGCACTGACGTCTTAAGTATTTTTCCGTATTGTTTAGGAGACAAACTCTTCCTAAACAGGGTTTGAATGATGTAACTGTATCCGTAACTGTAGCTGTATCAGTTCTTTAGAGCTGCCTTAACAAGTACCACTCGCTGGGTGGCTTAGAACACCAGAAACGTGTTTTCTCACAGTTCTGGAGGCTTCAAGTCCAGAATCAAGGTTCTCAGTGGGGCCACGTGCTCTGAAGGCTCTAGGGAAAAGGCCTTTCTTGCTCCGTCCAGCTTCTGGTACTTCCTGGCTATGGCTGCATCCCTCTGCTCTGTCTGTCTCTCTGTCTGCTGTCCTCTGGGAGGGGGGCTGGCGTGGCAGGGTGTGTGAGGGAAGGTTCCTGAGAGGTGAGGCCCGAGGTGGGGCTCAAGGGTAGGCAGTCTGGCTTGTGTAGTTCCCCAGCAGGGGGCGGGCCGCTGGGCTTCCCTCACTAGGGCTCAGCTGCTGCACTGCTGGGCCCGGTCCAGAGCCACGGGTGGGGGCTCCTGAGGGTCCTTCAGATGTGCAGGTCAAGGGGCAGAGGGCACGAGGCAGAAAGCTGCCTCTCTGCCTGGGGGGTGTGGCCTCTGGGGGTGTGTGGCCTCTGGGGCAAGGCCTCTGGGGGCATGGCCTCGGAGGACGGGTGGTAGCGGGCGCTGGTATAGGACCTTGGGGCTGGCAGCTGGGGCCCCAGAGAGGGCGAGAAGGCCTCAGGATTTTAGACACCAGGACCCCAGGGTGTGGCTCGTCGGGGTCACGCCAGCTGCGTGCTGGGGGTGGGCAGATGTTTCTTGATGCACACAGTGGGCATGGCGGGTCCGGCTCCCCTAGCCCCCTTCTGCCCACCCAGGATGGTTAAACACCCTGTGAGGTCTGAGCCCGAGTCCCCAGGTACCCTGCGGTGGTAGGGAGGGGTGTAGAGATTGAAGGGCCTGATGTCAGATGCCTAATGTGAATTCTGGGGAGACTCTGCCTCCTTTGGAGGCATGGGAGGGGGGATGGTGCTGCAAAGTGCTCCTCCGTATGATCGGGGCACACCTGTCCTTCCCCCAGGAAGACCCCATGGTGAGGGCTGCGCACAGAGGCGCGCTCCTGCTGCCTTCCCTCTCTGCTGCCCTTGCTCTTCCGGCTGGTGGGTGGGGCTGGGTGCCTTTGCCTGCCCTGCTCGCCCCCTCCCTGACCCTCAGTGTCACCTCAGCCCTCAACGACGCAGCCTCCCTCCACTCCCCAGCCAGGAGTGACCTCATCACTGCTTTGCGCATCAGGCAGCTGAGCAGATTCTCAGCCCCATGGGGACCAGGAGCCAGGGCCCGGGTGACCCAGGTGGGGGGATGTTGGAAAGCTGGGTTAGTGTGGTGAGGGGCTTTCCACGGGCTTGTCTGTTTGGGGTGCTGGCTTCGTTCAGAAACTGGGGCGTGCAATTGGGGAATTCCTCTGAGCCTCTTGCCGGGGTCCGAGGCCCAGCGCCAGCTCCTGGAAATCTTGATTAGTGAGAGCTGAGGAGGACACGTGCTGGCTTACCTGCAGGGCATGCCACCTGTACAAATCATTTGCAAGGGGCATTTGAGTCATCAGCCCACCTGTGAATCAGACCAAGGTGGAGTCGGGAGAACGCCAGACTCTCATGGAGGGTGTTTGGGAGCCTCAGTTTCCCCGCTGTGTGGTGGAGGGGCTCCTGGATGTGGCTCCTGGGCAGATTGCTCCCTGGTTGTGGGTCCCCCTGGGAGTGCTGGGGGGACTCTGTGGTTGGGAAGTATTAAAGATGCGAAGGAGTTGCCCCGAACACACCGGTGTGGGAACCCTTCCTGCAGGTACAGGACCCCAAGGCCCAGGGCGAGGGGGTGTTGGGGGCTGGCTTCGGAAGGGCGCTCTGCTGGTGGTTGATCTCCTCTCCTGCCATTTCAGATCCCTCGTCCACCTACATCAGGCAGCTGGAGACCAAGGTGAAGCTGCTGGAGGGTGACAACAAGCTCCTCGCACAGGTAGGCAGCGCGGCCGTCACTCCACGCCCTCCCACGCCCCCAACCTCCCACCTGTCCCCTCGAGTCCCACTCGGAAGTCACCCTGAAACCAGCCGGACTGCGGGCTGAGTTCTTGCTCCACGGCCTCTGGGATTCTCTGTGTTACTGCCTTTCCACGCCAACTGTCCCCCTGCTCCGTGGTCTGTAAGCTCCTTGGGGCTGGTCAGGGCTGTCGGGGGTTGGTACTTTCCACACAAGGAAGGAAATGGGCTTCTGGAAACTTCCCTGCCCTACCATGCTGGGATACACTGGCCACTTCCCCAGCCCTCTTGACCAGGCCCAGTGCCCACATGATGGGGCTGCAACCACCCTTGCAGTGGGGCAGGTTAGAGGAGAAGCGGCAGTGAGGGCGGCTGCCGGGCGACGTCTCAGGGAGGCAGAGTGGGGCAGCCTGGTGGTGGGCGTGGCTGCAGTGTTGGTCCTAGGTGGTCAGGGAGGCCCTCCGGGCTGTGAGGCAGTGTGGGGCGGTGACGGGGGCTGACCCATCCCCGGCTTGATCTGAGCACCCCCTCCCCTGCTGTACCTGCTGGCCCAAACATGGCGGGCCGGGGTCCCCAAAGCATTTCTCTGAGAACCGGCCCCGGGAGACCTCAGCTGCTAGGCTACCATCAGGCTTGGCACGACCGCCCTGCTCAGAGTCTGCTGCCCCCACTGCCTGCCTGCTAGCTTCGGGGAGGCTCCTGGTCCCGAGCGTGGAGCGAAGCCTCTGTCACTGAACTCCCACCTCGCCCTGCACAGACTGCACGGGCAGTGCCACCGGCCCTGTAGACACGGCGTGTGGACACCCCACGCCGGGCTCTCCCTCCCTCCCTGTGCGGCGTGTGGACACCCCACGCCGGGCTCTCCCTCGCTCCCTGTGGGGCGTGTGGACACCCCACGCCGGGCTCTCCCTCCCTCCCTGTGCGGCGTGTGGACACCCCACGCCGGGCTCTCCCTCCCTCCCTCCCTGTG